GTGTTGTACGAGCCGTTACCGTTCGGACGAGTACTGGTGTCTACAAGCGTAACGTGAAACAATTAGCACCACTTCCAATCGAACGCGAAGGTTCATCAAATCATTGATAAACCCAGCCACCAGGTAATGATTGTCAACTTACATTTTGAGCGACAAGTCATTCAACAGGGGGGAACATGTTCCGTCCGTCCAACGAAAAAATAGAATTTATGATTGGCCCGCACTTAAGAAGGGTCAACTCGTTCCCAACCAGCCTTTTTCCGGTCATAAGAAAACAGTCGTTCTCAAAGGATAAAGGCACTTCAATTTATTTTAAGAACTGATCTCCAACCCAAGTCAAGGACAAGGCCTTTGTATATTCGAACGTGGAAACTTTTACGCAGTTTCTAACGTTTTTCCCTCCCCCAATGAGACCAAGATCCTCCAAAGGGGAAAAAGAAAGTGATCAGAGAAGGGAACGAACTGATTGGGCCTTAACACTTAAAACCAACCAATCAGGGTTTTTTCCTACGTTGCTGCCCCACCGAGGTCCCAATTTGGGGGTTTGGACGGTCGCTCCGAAGGAGGACGAAGTCAATTGAGTTTCCAACACGGTCACGTGGAAATATAAAATACGAGATTTAGCTATCATTCGAGCTCATCAAACATACAACGAATTTGCTTGACTATCGATATCTTCTATGCAACTCAACGACATTGCCGATCGCATTGAGGCACTTTAACTTGAGTTTGTAATTGCCAGCATTCGGAAAAATTGAAGATTAGTTTCGCATTTTCGTCATCAGCATTAGACATTTACGAAATCGTGGGAATCAAAATACCTTTGATTTCCACACGCAGGTCTGAACACGAACGTTCAAGGTTGTTCGAGACAGCTGACATTTGACCAATTTGTTAGTTCGTTTTTACATGCAACATTTTTTTAATCCTATGCTCTCGTCACGTGCACGTACTCACATATTGAGTTATTAACAAAAACTCCCGTCTAATAAGAGCGCGAGTATACCAGGCGGGAGCAGTATACAACGCGCGAAGCGGTTGCCGTTCTCTTGCCCGCCTGGTATACTCGTGCTCTGATTGGACGGGAATTTTTGTTAATAACTCAATAACCACGCCTTGGATTATTTTTTCACAAAGGAAAATGTTCCTGACGCTTTTGTAAGGCACGAGTCGGAGACGGCAGATTTCGGCAGCTGGGCGCTCGACCCCGGCGATAGGTCGCTGGGTTGGCTGGCGGACACGGGGCGACCGCGCAAGGAGCGGTCGCTCTGGTTCCGTTGTTACCTCTCCTTGGTCGAATACGACCGTTAAAAGCGGGGGGCCCTTCGTGGAGATAGGGACTAATCGTGTTCCTAGGCTCGAGCGTTATTGCCGCTGAGCGCGTCACGTGGGAAGGGTGGCCACTTGTAACGGATGCAATAAAGAATGACCCGAAACCCGATAACCATCTGACGACGGCAAGACGACACCCGTCCGGCACCTAAGTTACGACCTTGGAAAAGCGGCCACCAACAACCAACCCCTCCTTCATTAACTTTTACCCTATTGGTGCGCTTCTGGCACCCAAAAATTGTATAAAAGATACACTCTGAAAACAAATAAACGTTAGAGCAGTTAGAACCTTCAAGAAGACTACTTCTTTATCCACCATCCCGACTGAGTCTCTACGGAACTCTCTCGCAACGAATAAAAAAGGAACAAACTCGTTTTCGGCGTAACATAATTGGCGCTCTTGCCAGGATACCACAAGAAGACGACCAGAAAATTTGGTTGACCATTGAATCTACGGACTTCGCTGGAAACCAAGCGTCAAGTCCAGAAGGCCGTCTCAGCTGGTAACCGATACCAGAGAAACCCAGGGTAAGAGAAACTGGCTTTCACCGAGTACCGGAATCCTCTCCCTATCATTTCGAGTGACGAAGAGTCCGTATCCAGGGCCAACACATCCAACTCCCTTGAAGAAACCCTTCGAGCCCTGGCCAAATCGGTCCAAGTCCTCAACGAGAACTTCGGAGTGCTGATGACCGAGAACGAGAAGAGGAGAGAAGAAATGTTACATCTTCACGGGTTATTGAAACCCATCCTTACGGATGACGATGCCGTCACCCACCACGAGGACACCGCCTCGGACAACCCTGTCGGACAACGCCCGGAGAGAAAAACAGCCGAAAAGGCTCAACACGTTTGCCGCCAAGTGGCTCAACCTACTACGCGCCGATGGGACACCGAGGAAGTCAACCCTTCAGCAGGTACCAACCACAGTACGGATGCCAGGTATGAGACACCTCATTTACAAAAAGCGAAAGACGTCATCGACATTATCGAACCGCTTAAGGGTCGTGACGACTTCGGGGTAGAAGATTATACGCATGGTTAAACTAGCTAGACCATTGTATACCGATCTTGAAATTTTATTATATAAAGTCGTTGCTACTAAAATCGTGGAGCAAGCTAAGCGTAGTATACGGCATCTGCGAATCGTGTCCTACGACGAATTATACGACGCGCTACGGACGTACGTATTCCCCGTCATACCGACCGACACCGCGAGGGAAAAATTGCGCAACGTAACACAGGGAAAAATAGAGAGCGTTCTGAATAACACTTTTCGGTTCAGGCAGCAGCTAAATGAGTACCGGTATGCAATCCAAATCGAAATCGCGTCGTCGATGGTGAGGCAGGTTAGCCTCAACGCCGCGGATAAAGAGGCCACGCGAATATACGTTCGGAACCTACGTCACGAAATCGGAGTATTAGTATTTCCTAACAAACCTGGTAGTATCACAGAAGCACAAGGGTACGCCCTAGAAGCCGAAATGTGGGACAAGGAATCCAGGAATAAGCATCGGACCGCGATACCCGATAGCAGACTGTGAGTTCGCCTTTAGCGTATCCGGCCTAAGCGATGCAAGCGCCTCGGCATGGCATTGTAGGCTTGACCAGCAAGGAACGCGCCACGTGCTTTTAACCTCCTGATCTCTCGTAGTCGTTGTTAATTCCTTGCAGAGCAGTTTCTCACTACCCGCTTCTAAACCCACTCACGATACATGGTGTCAGAAGTGTTCATTTAACAAGGTAAAAGTGTCACGTAATCGGCGGGACCTAATTTTGGCAAAAGTGTGAAGTCCAGGCGCAGCACATCATGGAAAATGTGGCGCAGGGAAGCGTCACCGCTTCAGCTTCAGCTTTTTCGTTAATTCGCGCTCCAAGCGAGTTTGATTTTAAAAAACCCGACACATGGCAAATGTGGATTAAGCGATTCGACCGTTATGTGTCGGTGGCGAATCTCACAGGGAAGTCCGATAGAGAAAAAATTGACCTCTTGTGCTACACGATGGGCGAGAAAGCCGAAGAGATTCTCAACCAAGTTTTACCACAAATGAGCGACGCTACAAGGTACGACGACGTAAAAAACAAATTTAAAGACTATTTCGCTCCAAAGAGAAACATAATCTTCGAGAGATTCAGATTCAATTCTAGAATACAACAAGCCGACGAAAGCGCCGACTCCTTTATGACCGCGCTACACACTCTCGCTGAAACATGCGATTACGATACTTTGAAAGTGGATCTAATCAGGGACCGATTAGTAATTGAAGTAAGAGACTCGAAAACGTCAGAGCGGCTACAATTGACTCCAGATTTAACGTTAGAAAAAGCAATAACGATGGCCAGGCAAGCGGAGACACAAGCGGCACACGGCAAGCTCCTACGTCAAACCACCGAGGAATCGGACCATAACGAGATCAACAGGATCTCGCATACAAGGAACGAAGCATCCGAAGATGCTGACAAACGGGACGCACGTGGAGGGAATTCGTCTTCTAAGAGGACGGCCAAATGTCAACGATGTGGATTCTCGCAACATCAGGACTACACGAAGTGTCCAGCACTCCGATCAACCTGCCGTAACTGCAAGAAGACCGGCCATTGGGACAGAGTCTGCAAGTCGCGCAGTGTAAGGCGCTTAGAAGAAACCGAAAACGACGCACGCGACAGCGCATTCCTAAGGTTGGTAGGGGGCGCCGCAAAAAGAGTAAACAAGGATTTCGTGACTCGCACGACGGTTTCGGAGTTGGCAAAAGACCTCCAATTCTGTATAGACACAGATGCGGACTGTTATATATATATATACATGTATATTGCGGTACATGATATAAGTAGTGTTACGAGGCAGAGCGCGCAAGTCGCACTGCGAGTCGCTTGTTGTACGTTACGAAGATGGCCTACACNTTACCGACTACGGACGAAATGTTTGCATCGCTCGCTGAATGTAAACATTTTTGTAAAATAGATTTAAAGCAAGCCTATCTTCAACTAGAGGTTGATGAAGCGAGTTCGAAACTGCTAACCATAAATACTCATAAAGGCTTATATAGACCTACACGTCTAATGTATGGGGTTGCGTCTGCTTGTGCGATTTGGCAACGCGAAATGGAGAACCTTCTAAAAGGAATCGAAGGGGTTTTCGTACTACTTGATGATATACGCATCGCGGGTAGAACGACAAATGAATTACTAGACAGATTAGAATCCGTCCTTAAGAAATTACACGAGCATAACATTAAAATTAATAAAGAAAAATGCGAATTCTTTCAAGACGAGATCGAATTTTGCGGATACGTGATAAATAAGTATGGGTTGCATAAGAGTAAGAAAAAAATCGATGCAATTAAAAACATGCCTCGACCTCAAAATGTAAATGAAGTCAGATCTTTCATTGGTTTTGTAAGCTATTATAGCCATTTTATTCCAAATGCAAGTAATCTATTACAACCGTTACATAGATTATTACAAAAAGGCATTAAATTCAAGTGGTCAGAGGAATGTGATAAGGCATTTTTACGAGTCAAAAAGGAGTTCATGAGTGACAAATGCCTTACTTTTTACAACCCAAACTTACCATTAATTTTAGCAACCGACGCTAGTCCTACAGGAGTCGGTGCGGTATTATCTCACAAGTTCCCCGACGGAACTGAGAGACCAATTATGTGGATTTCAC